TACAGAAAGAACAAGGACCAGGGATGTAATTTTAAGTAAATCTATTATTCAGTGGCAAGGCGCAGAGCGTTCGGGGCAGCAATATTAATTTGTATCAAATATAACATTAAACGGTGGTTCTAATACATTTTTTGATATTATTAACCAGAGTACATACATTATATGGTATTTCTTTCAAAATTAATGTACTATATGAACTTTTTTTTCAAATATTTCTTAAGTTTCTTTCATCAGTGCTGAAAAGCAACCATGCGTGTAAGAAATTGTGTGCTACCTAAAATTTCACCTCTGGAAACTTTATCCCCATAACTTGTAGGATACAATTTCATTTACAATATCCTTTCCTACTACGCAGTACCAGGGTTCGTATTTGCACACACATGTGCAACACATCCTAACATTTTACGCTCACACACGTGTGCTGTGCATATAAAAAATTAAAAATTTGCTCACATCACATGTGTGTGCCGTTTGGTAAAAAGCACGGGCACATGTGTGTACTTTCTTTTTATTAATGTAAAGCACACGCACATGTGTGTGCTATGCGTAGAGAAACTTATACACTTCGAATTCTAACTCAAATGTTAAAATAATTTTTTAATATGTTTTCTGTCATATAAAAAACAAACAACATCTCACTTTTTATTGAATTGTCTTTCAAAAAATAACGTTTAATAAACAAATTCTTTTACGAATAAATTATGTGCATGTGCATGGGCTGAAATTTGTACAAAAAGCGGCTCACACACATGTGCATGTGCTTAATAACAAACAGCAAACACTTTTCTGTGAGTAGAGTTTGTTTTCCACTTATGCACACACATGTGTATGAGCAGTGAGTGCAAGTTGAATGTGTTTCTGGCGTGTGTGTGAGCAGAGCATGTGTGTGCAAATACGAACCCTGCGCAGTACCTTCTAGTACAATTTTGTAATGAATACTAAAAATATATAGCTCTGAAAATTCACAGCAAGAAATTTTTTGTATTCTCTTTTGTTCGCCTGTTCGTACTTACCTTTGTAAGTTTTGAAAAATGGCTTGAACGAACCAGTATAATATAGCCTAGGCAAATTTTTAAAGAAGCTTCGATACTAAGTTTTATTAAAACAAAATGTCGAGGTTAGCTTCATATAGAAACAAAGTCTTCGTTAGTTATAAGAAGAGCTTTTCTTAAATATAATACCTTTACGGCACTCACATATTGACAAGATTTTACTATTTATTTTATTATTCTTTAATTTTGATTATCTGTTTATAAAATATAATGCATTCTTTAAGAAAAACTGTATAAACCCAAGATTAAATCTTTGCGAAACATCCGAAAACCAACATACTTTCGTAAAATTTCGAGCTTTATTAATATTCTTTAGTTTTTAGCCCATTCAATTTTAGTATAATCAAGTGCAAATTTAAAGTAGCTGGGACTTACCGTTGAACTTGGCAATATTTTTTGTCGACGATGTCAACCATTTTATTATATGGAGAAAATTAGCAACACCTTCATAAAAAAAATCTTAAAAAACTTAGTTATATTAAAATTTAATGGGCTGAAAAACCGCACACTCAAAATAAATATAGGAAAAGGAATTAAAAAGCTTGAAATTTTTACGAAAGTGTGTTGGTTTTTTTTCATGTTGCACAAAGTTCGAACCTTGGATTTGTAAGGCTTTTCTTAAAATATAATCCGTATTTTTACAAAAAATAATTAAAATTGAATTATATTAAGACAAATGGTCAAATCTTGTCGTAAAGTTTTGATAAGCACTTGAAATGCTATTAAAATGTCAAATTTTAGTACTGAATCCAAAGGAAAATGTCTCTTTTATCCATTAATAATAACTTAAATATGCTTTTTGTTAAGATGTATACCTGAAAATGTGTGCATACATATTTGCGTTAAATGCAGTACTTGTGCACGTGGAATCAATTTGTAAAAGTGTAAAATACGTAAACGTATGTACATAAACAAAAAAACTTTCTCATGAATACCATAAAATCATT